TGTCCCGCCCCTTCCGGCCCGCGGTTCTCGAGCTCGTGCAGCAATACGCGCCCTTGTCCGCCCGGCACTCCTCGGCATCGGCGAGGGATCCCGTCGTCGGGGGTTCCTCGGCGCAAGTACGCGTATATTCTCAGTCAGGCCGCGACTAGCACGATACGAGAGAGATCTCCTCGGGAACGTGTATATAACACTTGACGACACGAGTGTTTCGACGAATTATATAAATATACATATATATATATATATATATATATTTATATATATATATATATATATATGTATACATACATACATACATACATACATATATATGTATATATATCGGTAGTTCTTCTCGGCTCTGTCGAAGAGTGTAACTCGAGATCGATGTGTCGGCTTACGCGTCGGCAACTTGCCCGTCATCGCCGCGGCGTTCCCGCGCTTTTTTTACGCTCGTATTCGTCGTGTGTTTAAAAACTTTACCGAGTTCTTCCCCCCTGCCCAGGAGAATCCTCCATTGTACCGGCCATCCTTCTCTTTTTCCCCTCGACTTTTCTCACAGACCCACCTGTTTGTTCACCTCTGACTGATTGTCTGTTCGCCTCCGCGCCACCCTTCCCACATTTCTCTGTCGCCACTGCTCGCGTCGCGATTCTCTCTCACGACTGAACGCGCCAAGTGATCGTGTCGGGGGGAAAGTGCGCATCGGCCTTTAGGAAAGAATGAAAAACACGAACAATGAAGGAAGAGTGAAAAGACGACGTCTCTTTAGTGCGCTCGATGGCCGGTTTGCGAACGGCCGAGGGGGTCGGAGAGGGGAGGGGGAAGGGAAGAGGGCGCGCGATTCCGCAGTCATCATCAGCTAGATATTTACACATTTGCAAAACTTACACGCAATCTTACACACGACGTAGTGAAAAGCGCGCTTTGGAATAAATAAATTACTACATTCTAGTGTATCGTTATTCGAATAACCAATCGCAATCGTACGCCCGCGCCCGCCCGCGTAAACCCGTCTCGCGTCGTGCGAAAACGCCCGCGAGATGCTGAGGATCTCGAGCGGGCTTGTTGTAATCATAGGTCTGTTCCTTTCAGCCGCACCGCTGCACTAGTGCAATGAATTAGAGTGAGACAGATCTGTTTTACCTCACTTTGACTTATCGCACCAATGCAGCAGTGCAGCTGAAAAGAACAGACATATCCCATCGATATATATCTCGTGCCGGTGCAGAACGGCGCTTGCGCGAAACCCGATCGACCGATTCGGCTGGCGGTGTTATTAATTGCGAGAGGTGGCGCGCATGCACACCTCGCATCACATTAGTCGCGCAGACCGCTCTTCCGGCGAGAAAGGTGCTCCGATCTGCGAGCTCTGAGGCCGCGTTTTACCCTCGAAGAAGCGCCCGCGAGATACACGGGAAAGCAAAATACCTTAGAGGAGAGAAGAAGAGACAAATGTTGTCTCTCCCGCGCGGACGAGGACAGAAGACCAGAAAATTGGATCGTACGATTATACATATATATATATACATATATATATATATATATATATATATATATATATATATATATATAT